ATGGCCTCCAACCTACTAGCAATGGCCTCCAACCTCCTAGCGATGGCCTCCAACCTACCTTCAACCTCCTAGCCATGGCCTCCAGCCTACTAGCGATGGCCTCCAGCCCTTGCAGTCTTGCCGGCCTTTACACCTTGCAGTCTTGTTTGCTTCGGGGTTGTCAAAGCGTGTCAACAAAAACAGGGTTGACTCATGTTGCCTTAGTGAGTTTGGGCTTCTGAAAGGATTCATAGCAATGTCTGAACCAATCATTTTGGCCGTAGGTTAAAGACCAGGACTAAGTGACTTGGTGGGGTCTTATCCGAATGCTCGCACTCTCGAGTTCGAATGCTTATCCCTCCCTTCGCAAATGGCGTAGGTTATGCCAAGGCACCACCCTCTCTGATCAAGTTGTGGAAGGCATTGTCGTTCACAAAAATGGTGTTGTAGGTGAAGGGTGCCATGAAGCGTCGAATTGGATGGTCCCGAGACATCTGTTCCCGTAGAGCTGTCACGAAGAGATTCGCTCTTTGCAAATGGATGTCGTACAAATGATCCACCAACGTGACGAGAGTAAACAGGGATGAACGGAATCGAAACTTCGCCCTCTCCCAACCCGAATCTCCAGGTTTCGTTGTGACTGTCTTCTGAGTTCCGTCATCTCGCAAAGGGCCCATACCTTAGGGTCGACCAATGCCGTGCTAATGCTCATGCTTAAGCTAACAGGGGAGCGACCTGTTAGGATTCATCCATGCACGAAACCCCACGCTTCGCAACATCTGCTTCACCGGGTTCGAGAAAAAAAACATGTTTCAATGAATCCTGGCAGCCGCTGTCAACAATCATCACCGGGTTCCAAGATTGATCAAAATATGCATCACCTCAAGTGTTCGATCGGCTTTGCAACCCAGTTCGGATTGTTCCAACACACGATGACAACTACAAACTCTGAAAGTGAAGCATACACAAACTATAGGATTATATTGGTAATACTAGGTGAAGAAATGAAGAAACATTATAGAGGAACGACGAGAAATGTAAACTCGGAACTGAACTTTACTAGGTTCAGCATGGTTCGGCTGATGCGCACCTCCATATCTCTCAAAGCCATCATTGACTGGAAGAATTGACAAAGGGTTGGTCCTCACAACCTGCAAAAGCAACGTCAGAGGCTGGGTGCCGCCGGTGCCACCTCTAACCAGCCCTATTGACGACAGGGTAATGCTTGGATATCCGAGAACAAATGACATACAAGTACAAATCATGGCTAGCCTGGCCTTTGGCTGTTGGCTATTGTGTAACTTCAGAAAGTGGCAAGGGCATAGCTACTAGGAGCAAGGACGCTACTAGGGGCTCCTGGCCTTACTACTAGGAACAAGAGACGCTACTAGGAACAAGGGCATAGGGGTCTTTGTATGACAACATATGACAACCTCCAACCTAGTAGCGAACATTGCTCCTAGTAGTAAGGCCAGGAGCGCCCCTAGTAGCGTCCTTGCTCCTAGTAGTAAAATATGACAACCTCCTTTGAACAATTTCTGATTTCTTCCGAACAGTAACAAGAAGCTACGAACGTAACAAGGGCATCGCCACTAGGAGGGATCGGACGCTACTAGGGGCTCCTGGCCTCGCTACTAGGAGCAAAGGGCCTGTGGGGTCTTTGTTGTCTTGGACGCCAGGCCTCCGCAGGTTACTGTGCTGGTGACGCGTCTCTCCGCATCTCTTCCCCCCCGCGAACGACGAGACCGGCCAATCCTCTTGAAAGGTGTGCCAACAAACACGCCCAGGCAGTTACACCGATTCGAACCAACACGTTACAGATGTCAACAGGTGTGGTCTTTCTCATTGTCAGGATGGAGAGCACGTTAGAGACGTCGCGCGAGCATGGATGTCGCGCCAAGGGACAAAGAGTTTCTGCCCATCTCGCACTTCTGTGTCTACTCGATGCGCACCGATCCCATGCAAACAGAAGCGGGCCAAAGCATGGTCACTCAATTTGTCAGGCCACTCCTTTCTTCGGGTGAGACGACTTCCCAAATGCAGAGATCTGTCTTTACTTTTTGCAAGGCTGAGTAAGGAAAATAGGATTTCATACTTCTGCCATTTTTGTTGCCTGCCCATTTCACATGTCATCCACTAAACAAAGCAACTCGACGAGTGCTCCCACATGCGCCGGGTGCTGAAGCAAGAAAGAAAGCGCCTTCAAAACGTCCGGGTCCTGATAAATGTCCGGATAAATGGAGGACATCTGCTTCATCACGAACTCCACGGGATTTTCGTCCCGGCCAAAGGTTTCGAAGTGTTCCCTCTCCGGCAACGAGGAGATCGCTTTCTCGATAAAGGTTGGTTCCTCATTGACAAGCAGAATGCACACAGAAAACCAAAAAGAACGGGGAGCCTATAAACAATATGCTACTAGGAACAGGTGCATCGCTTCTAGTAACAAGTGCCTTACTAGTAGTAACAAGAAGCTAGTAGAAACAATATACAGTATATTGTTTCTACTAGCTTCTTGTTACTACTAGTAAGGCACTTGTTACTAGAAGCGATGCACCTGTTCCATGTGTTGTGTCAGAGCATCGATGGGAATTTCCTCTTTTGACGACGCCTAGACGACCCACAGGTGATCGAACCAGTCAACGGTTCACGGAAAATGTGAATCTGGGAATCCGCTCTTTAAGGTGCAAAGTGAGGCACGTCAACGTTTCCAAACTCTTCGGCTGTAGCGAAGGGCACGCGCAAGAAAAGCGCATAGTCCAGAAGGCCCTCACACAGTCTCACAGACTTAGTTCAGTCTGGAGGCCATCGCTCTTAGGTTGGAGGCCATTGCTCTTAGGTTGGAGGCTATTGCTATAAGGTTGGAGGCAATTCGCTCTTACCATTTATGAATATAGTTTTTACTTCAGCTGTGCACGTTCAGCCAGCCAGTCTGGACCTGTTCTCACCCTGCCTTGGCCAGTTCTCCTCGGGGCTTCAAGCCGGAAACCGGCATAAATTCGGGTCCTGGCCGTGTGGAGGACTCGTCGGAATTGCTGAGCTACTAGGAACAAGTGCCTTACTAGTAGTAACAGGTGCCTTACTACTAGTAACAAGAAGCTATTAAAAACAATGAGCTGGAACATATTGATACTTACACCTTCGATGTAAGTACAAAATGAAATGCACAATCAGCTTGTTGCCCATAGTCCATAGTCCATAGCAAACCAGACCAATAGCAGGTGCCGCATGGCCCGGCTAGTAGGCTGCGTCCAAGAAACTTTGTATTTCCACAACGCAATCAATCCCTAAGGCGGTCACTCGTCTCAATTACAGTAATTAGTATGATAAGTATTGCTTGCCCATTCCTCATGCATCTCTTTGCACTCATCAGTGTACATCTTTTGGTATTGCACAAAATACTAGAACCAAGAACTTGTCTTTTCCAATCAAAACTAAGGGTTGGACAACCTCTATGCATACATTGTACATGAGCCCATACAAATCAAAACGCGCAAGATGAATGAAACACCGAGTTGTACACACACACACACCGGCTCCTGCATTTGGTGGCACATGGCTCCTAACTGAGTTAAAATGCGCGAGGTACAGAATCTTCTCGTAGACGTCGGTCGGCCAAAAGAAGGGCCAGCAGCCCCAAAACCAGAGGTAGACCCGACAGCAGCACAACGGCAAGCCCACGATCAGAAATGCGACTAGAAGAACTTGAGCCAGAACCCACATACTGAAGCCAGTGAGAATGTATAGCCTTGATGCCAATCGGCTCAAGGTCGAGAACTTTCAGCGAACATACAAAAAGCGAATTGTCCAAAGCTAAGGCGTTGCTTTTTTGTTGCTATTCCAGCCAAGCATCGCGATGCCCGGCAAGGGAACGCAAAAAATCCAGGGAAAGCAAAAGAGCGTTCTGGGATTCTCAAGAGGCTGCATCACAGGCCATCCCTTTCCAGCAGGTCCTCGGGCGACAGCTCTTCCTTCCTCCACCAAAAGAAGCTTCTCTGCTTCCGACATGCTGCAGAGGTTGAGCTGGTCAGCTGCCAGCTAAGTCAGCAATCAAAGTTCTTAAGGACTGGAACATACTGGAAGGTTGGAGTATGTCCTCGTGTTTCACTGTGGTAGCAAAACTGAAGTCAATCTAAACTTCCAACATAAAGACCTACATGAACTGCTTTTGCAGCATGTGGTCTTGGCAACTGAGAGCAAGAATGCACAATGTGCGCGAGAAGTGTTCCCTTGGCTCTCATGTTTCGTTTGACTAACTTTTGGCTCAAACATTTCGCTCAAAGTTGAATGTTTGTAGCTTGAGCTTCATCATCGACCACGAGTCGACCCACGAAAAGGTCGACCCACAACTGCCGGACCTTGACCTTCAAAGCGGCCTCAAGCCTACTATATTGTCATGTCCTCCAACCTACCAGCAATGGCCTCCAACCTAGGAGTGATGGCCTCTTTTCCTGCGCTTCCTCGCGCAAATCTACGACTTGAAACAACCCCTCGCTGATCCGTGCTCAGTTGCAAGGCTTCGAATGCCAAGCCCTTCATGCCGCCCTTTCGTGTTGATCCAACAACAGCTGAGTCTTGAACGTTTGATAAGTCAAAGAAATGTGCGATCGCACTTGCGAATGCATGTGTTGCACCGGGCCACTAGCTGCTTCAAGCAGGGACCCAGTCGGAATCAGCAACAAAAGAGATGCAGCTGGAGCATCGGTTCCAAGATTATTCAAAAGCGCCGCTGGAACGATCCTTCAACATGGAGCTCTATAGACTTCTGCAGGTGCTGGGGCCCCGAGACACTAGTTTCTGGCCATAGCAACAGAACGCCACATAGACACATAGTAGCGATGCCCTTTGCTCCTAGTAGCGTCCTTGTTACTAGTAGTACGGCCAGGAGACCCCAGTAGCGTCCTTGCTCCTAGTAGCGATGCCCTTTGTTCCTAGTAGCTATTTGCTATCATGTACGTAATTCGATTTCGAAGTCTCCGTTCCGTGCGGCTTTGGACCAACCTTCGTCCCCTCTTTAATTTCCAGCTCAATCCGGGTGTCTTCACCGGTCAGATAATATTCCAAAAATATTCCGCTTCCGGAGAGTGGAAGCTCTTATACGGCTTATACGTAGTTGTCCAATCGAACCACGATACTCCTGCACACGGAGATGTCGGAAAGCGCTCTTCCAGAAACCAAAAACAATGAATGGAAAGTGGAAAGCATCGAACCTCACTACGCTCACCTTACTCATCTGTCCACTTCACTGAAAACACATCAAGAGACGCGTGACGCGTGTGTCTCTGACCTGCCCTCAAAGTCGCTTTGGTTCAGTTCCTGGATCGCCCTCTGAGCCTCGATGAGAGCGGCTCCACTTCGACGATCGAGGTCGGTCTGACTAAGACGGTTTGGTCGACGAAAGGGTGTTTTCTGTCAAGATCCGCCCCGTTTTCCAACTAGGAACCCTCCCGGTCAGAAGACTTGTATCACACCAATTCGTTGTACAAGAAGCTACTAGAAACAAGTGCATCGCTACTAGTAACAAGTGCCTTACTAGTAGTAACAAGGTTCGCTACTAGGAGCATTCTTACTGCCAAGAGCTGGACGTCATCCTCTGTCTCAAACAGCACGTTACCGTGGCCTGTGGCGACCAGGTGACGACACAGAGACACGCCCCTGATCGAAGCGGCACGGCCACCGTTCAAATATAATATTCTCGTTCAGGTCGTGTTAGTTTCAAGAAATGCAGCTATGTAAGGCTATGTATTTATACATTTATATAAGCAAGGCACCGACCATCATATGTGGGATGATCCTATTCACTGTTGATTTGTAGAATAGTTTTCTGTATGCTTCTGTATGCGTGTGCCATACTCGTGCAACACTCATTCATGTCCGTGTGCCATAGTCAGGCCTTTTGATTCTCCATTCATGTCCGTGGGCATCTCCACGCGGATCACGTTGCCATATTGCTTGAAAAGATCCTTGCAGGAGGACAAGATCGCCAGTGGGTGTTCTGCAGCATCCACCCACCCAAGGCAGTTCTATGCAGAAGCGATCTCTTTTTGTTCTATGGCAGGGTAAAGAACCGGACTTGTTTTTGGAAGACAACTATTCTGGCAAGAGACCACAAGCAGTGCTGCTAAGTAATTACAAGAATTAACGGTGAAAAAGCAAACTTCACACAGGAAAGCACCAATATGTCAGGACTTTTTCGAGCACAGAGATGAGATGAGCACGCACATGAGAGCAAACATGAGATAACAAACACATGAAAACACACATATCAAAGCGACGAACATGAGAACACACATCTGAGAGCACGGACATGAGAGCACACATATGTAAGAGTACACGCCTGAGAGATCCTGAGAGCACACATATGAGAGCGCGGACAGAACGGACAAGAGGTCATCGCGCGCAAATGCGATGTTATCTTGGTTATCTGAGATCTGCTCTTCTGCGATATGCTGTGGCTCTCCACTTCCTCATGCAAATGGCTTGTCCCACAGAAATCAGACCACTAAGCGGTGGTCTGACTAACAGGTTGTTCGGGGCTCCAGAATTCTTCAGTTCAAATCCGTGTCATCTTGCCGGCGCGTCTTGCGCCAGCCCTGGCAATGGGTGCCGCGGCAAGACCAGCTTGAGAGAGTGATCCCTTCAGTTTGGTGAAGTTCAACTAAGGTGTCCTGCTAGCTGCCAACAGGCTTTGTCTAGCAGCCAAATATGAAAACCTCACCATGGCAACAGGCTTTTTGAGAAGGAACACCAACTTGTTGATGGTGTACTGGTGTGTCTGTACACCTTGGATTAACTCAGTTGTTTTGTTTCACTTTTTGGAGCAGGGCTGCACGGTAGTCGGGAGGAGTGGACGGTCCGAGAAGTCAGTCACCTCTCGCGAACGGCAATTTCCGTTCTTTGGAAACGGGCAAAGACATGTCATTCGAAGTCAAAACGCTGGATGTGACACACTGGGCCGAAGGAAGCTTTTGGTTGAAATTTGCTGCTTTGGTTGAACCCCTGTCGATTTAGGCCTTTGGTTACTTTGCAGGTTTTGTGACATTCAGTCTGTACGTACTCTTTTCTCAAGTGTGTGCATGCTGGTATATGTGCTGGTATATGTAGAGTGTTTTAGTAGGCCATTGGTCAACCCCTCAAATGTGTAGAAAGAAGGCGATGATCAGCGGAGTGGAAGGCGGTGACGTGGATGCGTGCTTTCGGCCGGCCCGATGTGATGATTCGGAATAAGTAGGATACTGTGTGAAGGAACGAAAAAGAAAGGCTTCGTCGGTCCAAGAAAGAAACCAGCAAAAGAAGAAACATATCTCTCCAATATCATATGATTGAACCCTGCGGCACTTCTTGGTTGGGTCGCCAAAGTTCACATCACCAAAGGTTAAACCATTGTTGCGCGTGGTCTTATCCGCACATCTGATACTCTGCTTGCGGTAGCTAGCTCTTTGCATGATCAAAGGAAAGCGACGACATCAAAGTTGAGAATGGAAATGTCCAAGCAATTGAGAAATCCAGCAGCCAACTATGTCAGTCCACCACTATAGTCTGCAGTGCGCGACAGTGGCAAAACATGAGGAACAAACCTTATGAGAAAGGCCTGCGTGTTTAACAAGCGTCCAGGTATGAGCTTGTGAAATCGTCCCAACATGGTCTCAAAATGAGGTCAGAAGCGTGGCTGACAGCGTCCCATCTGCTGGGAGCGATGGGATCCATGGGTTCTGTTTCTCGACTTGGATCTGCTGTTAGCTTCCCACTGTCGTGGCCTTCACTTTCTGCCAAGGAATTCCAGATGGCAAGTTCCCAACCTCGGACACCGGAGGGAAGCTGGAAGGAAAGGGGAGGAAGAAAGAAGAAAAGGTAGAAACTCTGAACGCTATTCTTGCACTAGGGCAGAAATTTGCACTGAGCCACTAGGAAGGCCCATCCAAATCAGTTGCGCACACAATCTTTCGAGATTCCCTTCACAATCTTTAAAAGCAGAAACAAACGCTGATGGTCCATAATAGGGAAATCAGGAGTCCCGCACCTTTTCCGCTATGCCAAGTTGCATAAAGCAAACGCCCCCGGTCGCCAGGGCCAACTCGCAGACCCTGCAAAACGACGAATGCACAGCAGTCTAGCTGTCACTTTCCGTGCTGGCCAAATATGGCAGCTACTCCACACTTTGAGGAGTAACATATGGTGAGATAGTGACACATAGTAGTAACGCAATTTTTGGAAGCAACACAAAGCATCTGTTCGTTTGTCTGAGAGTGTGCCACAAGTGACGCCCTGTGTTTTTGAAGGCTGACGCCTGAGGGCGGGGGGGGAGCTTCCTTGAAGAAGCGCTCGCACTAATGATTTGGTTCCTAGATGTTTAGGGAAACTAATAGGAATGGCCTGCAACTGGATAGGAAAATGGCCTCCAACCTAGAAGCGATTTGGTTCCTAGACCGACTTAACTTAAGAGTGCCAAACCGTTGACATGCCCCGTTCACCATCCCCCTCGATCCGTCGCAGGTTCTTCTTCCACACGGCAAATTGCACAAACATCATGAGGACGGTTCTTCTTCTTCTTCTTCTCACAGGAGCACATGTGAGAATACAACTCTAAGAAGGCGAAGATCGCAGATCGATCAGATGCCTTCTTTGCGTTTTCAATCTGCAGAGAAGGGCAGATTGTTTGTCTCAAAGACCCTTGTCGTGCTGATGTCGTACAGCTCTGCTGCATATGCTGGTTACAGGACCATGCTTGATGTTCGGCTTGCAGTCAGCCAGTTGCAATACCGTCTCTCTGTACGTCGTTCGCATACTCAGCCAGCACAAAACGACTCTACGAGCTTCAGACCGTCATGGACATCATCCTCGCCTTAAAATGCTGCAATCACTGGGAATTCGTTGCGTATTTTGTTGCTGATCCAATTTGTTTGCTTTGGGAACTCTTCTTTTCGCTC